TTGAGAATGTTGTAAACAACAAGATGGCACCGAGGTCGGCGTGGTGAGCCTGCCTGCTGCGTGACACCTCATCTGATTGGCCCGAGGACGCGTGCACGCTGCGTGAACAGACAGCAGATTGGAGTGTTCTGTGCATGGACTTGAGCCCGCTTACAATTGGCCGGATTTTGTATATAAGCTGTGTGCTGAGAAAGGAGGGGGCTTTTCTGTCCACTCTCCTCCCTTCATTCTTTCTCTGTCGCTGTAATTTTCTTATTAAAAGTCTACTGAAGATCGATAAGCTGCGAGCAGTGTCGTTCCTTTGCGGGCAAGGGAGCAACAATGAAGTTGCCAGGAAGTTTGATATAGGACAACTGCGATGCCCATAGCTTGATTTTTCTTGTCCAGGATGGCTTTTGTGTTCTGGGGTTTTTATGATTGCATATACATTTTAGGATTGCTTTTCCTAGTTCTGTAAAGAATGCCATTGATATTTTGATAGGGATTGCAACAAATCTGTAGATTGCTTTTGGTAGTATGGACATTTTAATGATATTGATTCTTCTGATCCATGGGTAAGGAATATCTTTCCATTTTTTTTGTGTCCTCAATGATTTCTTTCATTCATGTTAGATAATTTTCATTATAGAGACCTTTTACTTCTTTGGTTAAATTCATTCCAAATATTTGATATTTTTTGGCTATTTGAATGGGATTTCTTTCTTGATTTCTCTTTCTTGGAGTTCATCATTAGCATACATAAAAACTACTGCCTTTTGCATGTTTATTTTTTAACCTGCAACTTTAATGAATTGGTTTATCTATTCTAACAACTTTTTGGTGGAGCGTTTAGCTTTTTTATGTACAACATCATGTCATCTGCTAGTGTGGATCATTTGACTTCCTCTTTTCCAATTCTGATGCCTCTTTTATTTCTTTCACCTCCCTAATTGCTCTCCCTAAAGCTCCAGGGCTGTAACGAATAAGAGTGGTAAAAGTGGACATTCTTGTCTTCTTCCAGATCTGAGGGGAAATGAAATTCACATTATTTTAAATTTGCTGCCAAAATAAGGCAAGATTTTAAATTTTTCAGAGTTTCTTTTCTGATCAGTGAATGTTGAGTTTATCTTCAGCTTTAATGTTGGAGTAGTATATAGGATTATTGTGGCTCACAGTTGGTAACACTGTCAAACACAAACTAAAAACAAAATGAATAACCCATAAAGAACACGTAAGAGAATGGGATTTGTCTTTGCAAGAATCTGACTGGTATCAGAAAAGATCTACATTTGAAGCATGGATTCACTGTGAATTTGCTGTCTTGGGTCAGTTTAGCTAAGCTGAGACTACATTTCCTACAATTCCCTTTCTCGATATTTCCAGGTTGGCCTAATATGCCATGGTGTGGAAGAAGGAAATGAAGTGGCAATTCTATTTCGTGTCTGATTTTGAGTTGAAATGAATGCAGGGGAATGGGGGCTGTTGTTTTGCGTCTTCTCTGCTGGCTCACGCTGTTGCCTCTGGCAACTGCCAGACCTGAAGTCCTTCCAGCTCCTGTGATGTTCTTTTATTTCTCCAGTTACTGTACCTGGTGTGCATGTGTTTATAGCTGCCCAAGAAAGGGCTCTGCTTCTGTGTCATCTCCCTGATCAAAAATAGAGGCCTAGAGAAGGTGAGAGCCTGGCATGGGTTCTAGGCTATCCTCAAAGAGTCCAGTAACTGATGATAGAACCCAGCTGGTCCTTGTTCTTCCATGCATCGTATTCATCACCAGACAGAGAAGACTCTCACAGAGATTTTTGAATCACCTTTCACAAACTCATAATTTCAAATTAGTGAAATAAATCCTGATATACTACTCTTGGTAGTTCTGATACAACAAATCACTTGCTATATGATCATTTAAAAGTCAATAAACCTACGTAAATACCAATTTCTTTTACTACAAAATTTTAATAATAATAACTACATCAAAAATTCTTCTGAAAATTAAAATGATTATGTAAACTTTTTAGCAAACTTGCTGAAAACCAGTATTTATTCAGCAAATGATACCTTTATTCTGGAGTTTAAATAAGTTTATAAGATATTTTAATTTATATAATATTTATTTTTAGTCAATTCAGTGGGAATCTTTTTGTGACATTTGTATTTAAAATTTTTCTTTTATTTTCTGTAGCAACTTTGAGGCAAGTGGCAAGAATTATTGATATAGTTTGTTCTTAAAAAGAATACATACCAGAATATATGATTTTCAGCCAGAAGTTTATTATTGAATAAGATGTTATTACCTGGTAAAAATTCCCTGACAAAAGATGCTAATAGCAGTCTTTAAACAGAACAAAATAAAAGTGCTTAATGGAGGGAGAAGTCCTGAGAGAGCTGAGAAGATAGTAGTATCATAATCTGAAGAATCAAGAAGTAAACTAAAGATATTAAAAGCAAGGATGAGAACATCAATAAATCTCTGCTCAATCCCACATTTTTAAATGTTTTAGGATATTCCATTTCTCATGTGGAATGTTTTTTCAACCTAAAGGAATTTTGCTTAAAATAATCCACTAAAATCAATATACTACAGCATTATTTTACTGTATTTTTTTATTCTAGACAACCTTTTGTTTCCACTTTTAGCTTGTCATTAAGTGGCCATGTGTAATGGTAACATGCCGATGTACCACAACTATCATGTGTGTGCTTGCCAAGCATGTTGAACACAGAAAAACTCATTCTCAACTATTAACTTCTAGAACACTTGTTCCTTTTTTCCTTCTAAATTAGTTCATGTGTTTTTCTGCTGTAAAAGAAAAATTGCCTTTCCTTAGTCACTCTTTCTAATGAACATTAAATTGGTTGGCCTTTTGAAGCATTCACCCACATTTGTAGCACAATGTTAAAAAGCTAATTAAAAGTTAATATGGAGATTAAAGTTGTAGAGCATGGAGGAATCTGTCTTGCTTCCAAGGAACACCTTTAATGGTTCTGAAATTTGGGTGCTTCATCCATGCAGACGTGTGACGCCCTAATCCCGTCTGTTTCAAGAGATAACCATTTATTTCCATTTCCAATAGTCCATCTGCTCACATGGCCTGAGTGCAGAGGGAGTGGAATCCGATAACTGGGTGAGGAGCAAACCCCCATCAGCAAAGCGAGCAGCCCTCCCAGGACAGCAGCAGCTTCAGCGGTCGTGGTGGGGGGAGTCACCAGAGACGCGGAGAGATAAATGAAGAACTGACAAGAATATAAATGGAGTGTTTGACTAAGCACTGTGCTGGGCCAGAGATAAAGGCATGCAGCATGCAAGCACTCATGTGCAGACACAAAGTCAGAAGACAGAGCTAAGAGAAGAGCAACCACGTATTTCAGAAAAATTACAAACACACAGAAAACAACAAAATTCCGTGAACAGGAAACGATGCTCCATGATTGTTTTGCACAATTTCTGGATAATTATTGGCTTGCTTTTTAATCTGTTTTGGTTCTCTTTCCAAAATAACGAGTATTACTAGTTGAATAATCATGCACATATTAAAAATTCGTAAACCACAAATAAAACATCCACCTAGCAGTAGAAGAAAGAATTTGAGAGATGGATAACACAGCAATATGAACGGGGTGGAGACAGAAGCGGTAACTGCTACAGTGATAGCCCTGACAGCTAATTCTGATCCCTTCTCTGCAAACATAGCATTCAAAGGCGCAGTAGATGAATGAAAACAATAAAGCTATCTTGTGTGGGAAGAATACTTTCAGCTTTTCCTAAGTCTTTTCAAATAGTTATTTCACATGAAAGAACTGGAAAGTGAAATAACTTTCCCAAGGCCATAAAATTAATGAATGGAAGCATGTCCTGGAAGCCAGTGTGCTAATTGCCATCACTACTTTTTGCAGTATCAATACTGCTTTAGGGAGAAATATTGCGATCGGGAATCATACATTTCAACATCTGGATATCTAACTCTTGAATAGTGGCATTCTATGATCTGAAAGTGCTTCACATATCATTTAGCCACTGTGTCCTAAATCAAGACTTTTTGAAAAATATAAAAATATTTTTCCAGCTCCCACATGACTGCAATTGGACTTTTGGACCCTAGTGATTGTGGAAGTATATAAAGCATATGAATTCAAGGTCTCCTTGCAATTATTCCAAGGTTCATAATTTGGAAACTACTGATTTAGTCCAATCCTCTCATTTTACAGAGAGGAATCCAAAACCCAGGGAAATTAAGTGAATCACCCAAGGACATAAAGCAAGTTATTCAGAGAACCAAGAGTGTTACTACTGCACGCTGCTTTCCCTCCTCTCTCATTTGGGAACAATTTATGTTTTGTTTCCCTCCTGGCATATTGTGGTTGTAGTTATCATGACATTTTAATTCTATTTTGAGTGCCTGGTTGGCTTGGCAACACTATTTTCCATGCTGCCTCTGGTTCGTTCCAGTAGAGAATCCAATGATTTCTCTGTTCTCTGCTACTGATTGATAGAGTGCCAAGAAGATTCAAAGCGATCTAAGGAAAGAGAAATGCATTTTTAAAAAACACTCTAATAAAATTACTAGGAAAAATAAATTTAGAGTGTTTATCTCTGCCATCATTCAAATAATGGCTTAAACCTTATGTTCCAATTAATTCCACTCTTTTCTTTACATATTAGGGGAAATCTTTTTATGAGATCTTGCAAAAGTGGAAAAATGAACCAAACACTGTATGTATGTATGTATGTATGTATGTATACATTTGGTATGTTTATATATATATATATGTAGGGTATATATATACATACATGTAGTGTATATATAGTGTATGTATACATTTTATACAGTTTATATATATATAATATAGTGTATATATATATAATTGCGGTTATTTGGTACCTAGTTTTTTTAATTTGTTCTACAATTATCGCATTTTTAATAGAGAAAAAGATTAAGTAACCCTGAGAATATATAAAGAAAATCCAACTGACACTGAGACTCTTTTTTCTCTTACTCCATACTCACAATGACTTCTGACACCAGCCGTGGAATACCAGCGAGTAAGCCATCAAGTCTGCGATAGACACCCGCTGGGCATCTGCTAGCTCACTTCAGTTCTACACAGCACCAGAATACACAGGTTGAGGACTCAATCACCAAGGCTGTCCTTATCCCAGTTCCAGTAGCAAGTCTGAGCCTCGAGAACTTCTGACCAATCGGCTGCAGGTTGGGCTTCCCACAACTCCCCCTTTTGTGCTGTAGCGGTCCTAGAACTCAAGGCTGTACTACTCTTAAACGTCTCAGTTTATTTTAAAGGATACAAATAATCAGCCAGATAAGTGATACACAGAACAAGGTCTGGAAGGGTTCCAAGCACGGGAGCTTCTGTAGACCTGCCTAGTGTGACAACCTCTTGGCATGTGCATGCGTTTTTGCTCACCTCCAGGTATTCAGCTGTCCAAAAGTCTCTGAACCTTTCTTGTTTTTTTAATGGAAATTTTATTTCATGGGCATGATGGAAGCATAGGCAACCATGCTGAAATGTTATTGGGCAGAAAGGGTATGATCCACAGCTAACACACCAAGAGGGGGAAGCCAGCACAACCTGTCTATTCACATTCTAGTTTGGCCTTTCTGTGGAGCAGGCTTTCCTTGAGGGCATGAGGCAGGAGCTCTTCTGTTCTGAGATGGGGGCGGGGGGGGGGGGGTCTTAGAATCTACATCAGAAAAGGTACAGCAGAGAATTTATTTATGGCCAACTCTAAGGCAGGAAGGCAGGGGAATGTTAGAGTATACTTAGAGTTTCTGTGACCTGCCTTGTCTAGTTTCTGTGGTCTTCCTTGGGGATAAAAAGGAGCAGGTGGAAAATAGGTGTGTGTGTGTGTGCACGTGTGCAAGAGAAAGCGTGGAGGAATAGAGAGAGAGAGATCCTACAGTACCCCAGCATTACAATAGTCACTTAGGAAATAATAATGATTATTAGACTGACTCATCAGTCAGGAATCATAGATAAAAATCAAAACGATGGATGTGATGTCCCAGTGGTATCAACCTAAACCTTTGCTATTTTCTTTTTTTTTATTTATTTATTTTCCCCCCAAAGAAACCTTTTATCTAAGGAATACAGACTTCATGCATTTCATAAGCACAACTTTAGGAATATAGTTATTCTTCCCACCATACCCACCCTCCCACCCCTCCTTCTCCTCACTCTCCCACCATTCCCAGTCCCATTCTCCACTAAGGTCCATTTTTGATTAACTTTATACAGAGAAGACCAACTCTATACTAAGTAAAGCATTCAACAATGTGCACGGAACACAAAACAAAACAAAAAATAAACTGTTCCTCAACAGTCAAGGGCTGTTAAAAGTCATGACATCTTGAAGTTAATTTACCTTTTTTTTTTTAGAAACATAATTAACTTTAGAGAAGCTCCCAAGTATGACACATCTTTTGCAAGCACGTAGACATAATTATAATACAACTCACTGAGGACAGAGGTCTTGCATGGGAAATTAGTGCACAGTGAATCCTGTTGTTAATTTAACAATTAACACTCTCATGTATGACGTCAGTGACCACCAGAGCTGCCTAGGCTATGGAAGACTTTCGTTTTTTGTTGTTGTTGTTTTGTTTTTTCTTTAGAAAACTTGTATTTAATAATTATAAATTTTCAAAGTACAACTTTTGGATTATAGCGTTTCCCCCCCATAACAACCCTCCCACCCGCAAACCATCCCATCTCCTGCTCCCCCTCCCAGGTCATTTTCAGGGGGCTGGATCCACAATGTGACAGCTAGGACTCACACTGGTGCCCATATGGGGTGTTGGCACCGCGGGCGGCATTTTCCTTTCTTAAACCCATGTGTTTTTCTTTGTTTCTAACATGATGGCCAAAAACTAAAGACACACATTTTGATCATAGCCACTCTGGGGTTTCAAATACCAAACATCTCATACTCAGGTAATGATCAAATTCTTCTACCAAATGCTCAAAATTTCGACTTAGGATTTTTCATTTGAAATTCCCCTTTCCTAGTAAAAGCTCCCTCCACTTTTCACTTTCTTTAATCTTGATGTACCATGAGGAGACTGTGCTCCCCAATACACACACACAGCCTGCTAAAAGGAAGCAACTCACATCCTCTGGCATCTCCTCTCTGACTCAGAAGGTAGGATGATAGGACTCATGCTCCTGACCACCATTTAGACACCATCAGCCCCCGCCCTCTATTATGCTCTTCCCTCGAAGCTGTGGCCCTTAGGCTTCACATTCGCTGTTTCCCCCAGTATCTAGGTGGCAAATGATCATTCTTTGAATACCAATGCGTCTTCTTTTAGTCTTCCTTGGGGACTACCATCCCCTGGGTGACTTCCACCTGGACCACAGCACTCAGCTCCTGGTTCCAACATTAGCAGTTCCTTTTGTTCTTTGAATTCAAGGCGACCTCTGAACCCTTAACCCCTTTCATTTCTCAATAAGTCCCTTTACTTTTAAGTTATTTTCTAGCTTTGATTCCATGAGACTTTCTTCAGAACTTTATTTTTAAATATCTTCTAATGGTTTATAGCCTTTCTGTTTTACTTTAAGGAAATACATTGTCAGTGAAAAAAATGACAAGACAATAATCAAAAAAGCTTTGAATTCACAGAGGTTTCTTAAGACTACTTCAGAATTTATTTGTTTTTTGTTTGTTTGTTTTTTACTTTTTTGTTTCTCTACAAAAAATAAATGTAAAGACAACATGGCAGATTAAAGCATGAGTAACTTGGAAGGTGAGTTTAGAATACAAACCCCTTTATGGTTTTTCAAACAAAACGAATCTTAGAATATGAGTTTAAAATGATATCTAAGATTTGATGATTTAGGAAGCATGCAAAATGTTTGTGGGTTTTTTTTGTTTGTTTGTTTGTTTGTTTTGGACAGGCAGAGTTAGACAGTGAGAGAGAGACATAGAAAGGTCTTCCTTTGCCGTTGGTTCACTCCCCAAATGGCCGCTACAGCCGGTGCAATGCACCGATCCAAAACCAGGAGCCAGGTGCTTCCTCCTGGTCTCCCATGCGGGTGCAGGGTCCAAGCACTTGGGCCATCCTCCACTTCCTTCCCAGGCCACAGCAGAGAGCTGGACTGGAAGAGGAGCAACCGGGACAGAATCCGGCGCCCCAATTGGGACTAGAACCCGGGGTACCGTCACCGCAGGCGGAGGATTAGCCTAGTAAGCCGCGGCCAGCCAGCAAAATGTTTGTATTAGGTATTTTATAAAAGCTTGCTGGACATTATGACAAATATTTACAGATTGGAGCTAACGAGGATGAAAAAAACAAACCCTGTTGCAGGTAACAGGACTCAGCAATGATGTCAGGAATGGCCAGTGAGAGTAGAGGAACTAAATATGGGCCACATATCATGCCCTTGAAAATAGAAGTTAAACCTGCAACCCAGGAGGAAGAGCTGTGCTCTCTCTGACACCCCTGGAAATAACACTCAGAAAGTGCTCCTCTGGGAGAAATGGGAAAAACAGAGATGCTTCTAGGATGCAGGAACTGAGGGCCAGAAAGTAAGAACCAAAGAACAGAAAAAGCAGCATCCAGCCACCTCCTGGTGCAGGAAGAGCCCTCCAGGAATGCAGCTGCCTCCAGGGGAGGTGGCTCACACCTGGCAAAGCTCAGGTTAAGTTAAACCAACTGCTGCTGATGTGTACTGCCTCCTAACCATAAGTTATGCTTAGAGCCTTGTCTCCTGCTGGAAAGTCATTGAGTCAATTAACCCTTTTCATGGAAATGCCTCACCCCTTAGAATAAAGCCAGAACACTCAATTGCCACTTTCTATATGCGCTGCAATGGAGATTTAGCTGGCCCAGGTTATTGGCAGCAACTACAGGAACAACAGTGTTGGAGATAAGATGGAAGGTAACAACCCGGACTGGGAATGACAGAGACACAAATTCTGCCACTTAGCTGTGGGGCAGAGACTGTGGCTAGCCTAACCTCTTTGTGACTCTAATCATGAAAATATAACCAATTTCAGCAAGCTTAGTTGAAATTTAGGAATTCTTTTTTTCTTTTTAATCAGTTCCATCACTTATTTATTTATGTACAATGAAACCTAAAAATACAATAAGTGTCAAAACTTGATTATATTTCTTGCCTATAAGTAACAGAAATATTTTGTCCCAAATAGAGATGTCAAGAAATAGATTATTTTTCTCCAATAATAGGAGTATCTTAAGTTAGAACTAATGATTTTAAGGTTTTTGAAAGTTGATTTCATAGACTATATATATAAATGTATATGATACATACATATATATGTCACATGCTTCAATACTGTTGAACTCTATATTGTCATTTTATAAAATGAAATTAGGACTTAACCCATTCTGAGTACTTGCTAGTCTGACACTGTTATCTTAGCTAATGAGAAATTTGAGCTGCTTTTGCTTGAACTTCACTCTTGATGGTGGCCAGTTTGTTTAGAGAGCCATCCACGATAAGACTGAGTTCATAACCAGGGTTGTTTCTGTGATGGTCGAAGACAACTTTAAGGCATGTATAGAGGAGGCTTATTTTAGAGCAAAGCATAATGTCTTGGAACTTTCAAATAACCTAAGAATTCCTCAGATAAGGCTAGGTTAAAAAGAGTACTTACAAGAAACTAAGATAAGCCTACAGCAATTAGTAGGATTTTTATAATCAATTATCATTTGTGCTTTTCTCAAGGCTTTAAACTTTGTATTTAGATATATTAGTAACTTTTTCTAATTGGAGATAATAGGCAACTATCTCATTAACCTTCTCCCAGATAATACTAATATATATTTTTAAAAGTAGCAAAAGTAAAATATGTAATGCTTTTAAAATTCAGATAGCAAGTCATAGTATCATGTAAAAAATGAAAAATCATCTACCTACAATGCTCTACTATTTTTGCTTGTTTCTTTAAGAAGCACATAGTGGGAGGCATTTGGTCTCACCGTTAACACTTTGGTTAGAACACCCACATTCCATTTCAGAGTGCCTGGGATCAAGTGCTGATTCCAGCTGCCTGCTATGGTTCAAGTAGTTGGGTCTCTGCCACCCATGTGGGAGACCTGGATTGAATTCCCAGCTTCCGGCTTTGGGCTGGGCGAGCCCTGACTGTTGTGGCAATTTTGGCAGTGAATTGGTAGATGACAGTATTCTCTCTCTATCTCCCTCTGCTCAATTAAATAAATAAAAATTTCTTAAAATACATAAACGAGCATAACTTTATGTATTCTTTTTCAAAATTAAGCAAGGGAACCACATGGATCATTTGGTTGTGCACTTTGGGTTTTTCACTTAAACACTACATATAGACTTTTTTTCATATTATTACACACAAACACTTCATTTTTTAAAATTTCAGAATATATTGTTTCACTGACATACACTAATTTTCACACTCTGATATCTTGTTTGCTTCATATTTTACAACCAAATATTCAACCAAAGTTTTTCTTTTGTCATAGCTTCTTGATTAAAAGACTACTTGGCATGCTGTTTCAGCTGTGTTCAGGTATAAAGTCAAAATTTGGGACTCAAAAGGTATAATCAAATGTTTTAATTGTTTCAAGTTTCTATTACCAGCTTTTTGTCACATTCCATGTCAGTATCTTAAGGATAATATTAAAAGGGGTCT